GATGAGAATTGACACGAAGCTAGAGATGAAGACCTACCAACCCCGCTTTTTGATTCATTGTTAGTAGGCGTCCCTTCCCCCAGAGAAATTTTTCTGCATCACCATTTTCGTACCACTGAGAGTCCAGTTAGCACAGCGTCAAATGGGGACCTTTATCGCACAGGCAATATCCATGCACCATATGGACCAAACAACTCCCTATCTTCTACCAACTCGTATAGTGGTACAATATTCTGGTGCCTCAATCGGATCCAGACCTCGCTCTCGCGTTTGAATCTCTGTCTTGGATCAGCTATACGAAGCCTACTAAATACATACACTTACCCTTATAGCTGAGAGACCGTATTGGGATCTTTTCCTAACTTCTTCAAGTGTCTTGATGACAACCTGTTGATGATCATGTTAAGCGCCTCGGAATGGCGAAACGATTTGCCTTACCAACTCTCCGTGAAAGGTGCCTTTGTAGAAACTTGCATGGTTTGCCCAGAAGGCCAGCTTTTGGCATATATGCTGGATTTCGTCCATTGGTTTCGGAGTATCGTCGTGTGGTATTGCTTTCTGAATCTCGAGACTGAGCTTCGGCGGCATGATAACTAACAGGTTAGTGGAAACAATATCTCCAAAGACGAAATAAATTGGAAGATTGGACCCGAAAAAGCTGAACGTTGAATGTGAATCTGATTATGGTCGGGTTCTGGGTTACGTAAGATGAGACTGGCTCCAAGGTTGGTCCACGATTCGAACCAAATCTCAAGGTCACGTGTGTATTATCGAGAGAATCATTTCATACTACATCCACGAAGACGAAATCTGCCTGAGGTGTCTTTGTCGATAAAAGTAGTCGAGGACGCGTCCAAGTCCAAGCTCATATTGAATTTAGTCCCTTCCCCCATGCTGTCTATGATCAACCGCCATTCATGTTTTCGGATTAACTCTAATATTATTAATATTTATCGATTCTTATCCCTATTAGAGGAAACTTGACGTGTGATCCTGGCTCGACAGGTTGACTCGCCCCCTCACGGTCTCGGGCCGTTACTAAATGCGTCGGGAGATTTGAAATTGTTAGATTATCATCAAAGGTGAGGGTTTTCACGGGTCGGCATCCCTAGTTTACTGACGAATTTTTGAACATGTTCTATGGCGACCTGTTCCATTTGGTTCAAATGCGATGAATAACTTTTAGGGATACTCGAGTTGTGAGTAGGAATTGAATACCACTACGTCAGAACCTTGGCGGCGAATGGCACGGTTATCGGGTTCCCAATAATCGCACTCATATTGGAAAACAGAAACTCCACTCCCAGTTAGAATGGAATGTTCACTGGATATAGGTTCGAATGGCCATTTTCTTACCTTGGGTTACCCACTGCCATCATACTGTGTCGCCACTCGAATTGCCCCGGAAAGTTTGGCGCCAAACCAGCCCATAACCCCTATATAAGATGACCGTAGTTGGCCCGTTTTCATTCACAAACACCCCTAATATTGCTACACTAATACTAGAACCATGATTCGAGCTCTGAATTTCGATCTCAAGACTCCCCTCCTCAACGACGGATTCACGGGAGACCTCGTCATTCCCTCCGACCCTGATTATCAAACCGCTATTGTGCGTTTTGCGAAGAACGCTCAGCGAAACGCTGCCCTCGTCGCATTCGTCAGGTCGCCAGGAGATGTCTCGCGTGTTATCCACTTTGCCTCGGAAAACTCGATCCCTCTCGTCGTTCGCGGTGGCGGACACAGTACGTCGGGATCGTCCTCCATAGAGGGTGGTATCGTCATCGACCTGTCAAGATATATGAACAGGGTCAGAGTAGACGAGGAAAATAAACTGGGTTATGTCGGTGGTGGTGCGAATTGGAAGGATGTCGATGAAGAAGCTATCAAGTATGGACTAGCTACTGTCGGTGGAACTGTTAATCACACTGGCGTCGGCGGTTTGACCCTCGGCGGAGGGTACGGATGGCTAACAGGTGAATACGGTATGGCTATCGACAACCTTGTTCAAGTAAGTAACTTGCTTTAGAAAGAAGCGAGTGTTAATCTCGTGTTCGGACATATAGGCTACTTTGGTCACTGCAGATGGAACCATTCGCAAAGTCGATGAAGCAACCGATTCAGATCTCTTTTGGGCTATTCGAGGAGGTGGTACAAACTTTGGCTGCGTGACCGAGTTTGTCTATCGACTCCACCCACAACGCTCGATGGTGTATGCTGGCCCGCTCGTCTTTCCACCTCCTAGGATCAAGGAAGTCGTAACCGCTGTCGAAGAATGGTACAAGACCTCGAGTGAGACGGAGGGTATCATCTTAGTTATGACCACCAAGGGACCAACTGGAGAACCAGGGGTCGTTGTCTCTATCTTCTTCAATGGCGAGGAAGAGGAGGGCAAGCAGAAATTCAAGAAAATCTTGGACCTCGGTATGCCTCTTGGTATTTTAAACAAGTCACGTCAATTTCTGAATTGATTATTTCTGCCCCTCTAGGTCCTGTCGCAAACCTTGCTACGATGATCCCATATGAAAAGCTCAACGGTTTGCACAACGAGGCTATACCATATAACATCAACACTGCTATCAGTGGTACTTTACGGGGTAGTCTCCCACCTTCCTCAGCTTCAGCTATATTTGATCAAATGCTCGCCCTCGCCAACGCGCCATCCAAGTTCAAATCCATCAGCCCCGAGACTAAACAAGAGGAGGAGAATAAACTTTCCATGATGATATTATGGGAGTATTGGAACCTGAAGAAGCAGTCGACTCCAGCACCCGACGCGACTGCCTTCCTAATGCGGGTACCTTATCCTGTGGCACCCACTGCCGTGTTCTGGTCTTCTGATGATCTAGAAGCGGCCAGAGAGGCCAGAGAGAGGCTCAAGGCATTGAGAGGCTTTTGTGATGCCGAGTTGCGACCGACTTTTGGTCCGGATGGTCCCGTTGTGAACGGTACCGGCTACGGAAACTCTGGTGAGAATTTCACTCTCTCAGTTTCTTATATCGAAGAACCAAATTTTTCTGACCTATTCTTGTAGAGCACCGAGACCCAAAGTCAGCGGCAAGTGCAGAAGCACTCTTTGGTGCCAACTACCCCAGGCTCCAAGACATCAAAGCCAAATATGACCCGAATCTAATGTTCCACTCTTGGTTCCCGATCCAACCCAAGCCCAGCTCACAACGTAGGGACATGTATAGCAGTATCAAGAACACTCAGGCTGCTGCCAAACAGTTTTTAGAAGAGACCTATTCGGCGTTGTATGCGTAGATACTGTAGTTTGTAATATAGAGAGAATGTAAAACTTCATTTACTCAACTAGGACCGAAGCCTTCTGACCCTGATAAGCGAATATCGTACAAACCTCGTCTCTTCGTCAATACCTGATTTCTGATAACGCATTGGCAACTCATGAACAGGTGGCCCGAAATCTCGGCTAAAAATAACACCAAGCCAGAAACTTTTTGCTACGGGCATTACGGCAAGGTGGTGAAGGAGTGGCAGAGGTCCAATTATAAACCAACCGGTTGAGGTCTCAATTACTGCTACATATGCTCGCCAAACATCGATAAACATTCGTGTAGAAAGTTCAGCTGGATAGAAAAGTCGTGTTCGGGAGAACGCGTGGATACATGGAGTCACGTACGTCTCTTCAAACTCGTTGGCTCGGGGTTTTGATAGATCCTGACGGTAATCGATTGAAATGGGTCAAACGTGCATTTCATTGGCATAAACGTCCTTCTAAGCAACACAAACACTGGGTCAAACATACCGCTGGCCCTTGACACGAAGCACTCCCTTTTATGGGTTGCTGGACCGTGAATCTTTACTTGACAAATCATATCCCGTAACACGGCTTCACTGGTGACTTCGCTGCTGTCTGATTAACCTTGAACGCCGTCCAAGCGCTTCGAACTCGGCCGAGCAATACAAACCTCCTGACCCACCAGACCACAAAGTGGACGACGATTGGCCAGGAAGACTACGGACAACCTCTGTTGACACTAGATCAACTGGTACCCTCGCCACCTTTTCTGACCAGACTGTCAAGGCCCCCAAAGTTTCTTGGTAGAATCACCGGACATTACCAAACCCTC